GAATAGGAATAGATGCTATAAATAACCAATATTTATTCTTATAATCAAAAGAATTTGAATGAAGGGTATCCTCCCGTCTATTTCCGGGAGTTTCTAAGAACGTCTCATCAGAGAAATTTGAAATTTTCAGAGTAAATAGATGTTGACATGTTGAGAAAAGCTTATCATAGACTCAAAGTTCCCGAATGCTGTCTTGTATTAGATACGGGGATAACAATGGCATTTCCATTTCCTCGAGATTTTATGTTCGATCCAGCTGAAAAATTTTTTTAAAGGGTACACGCCACTTTGCGATGGGTATCTTTCAATTTTCTGTTCTTCGACTAAAAAAGCCAAAATATTGAAAGCATCCTAAAAGCACATGCTTTTTTAAATAGAGTTTTTTTGTAAGAGATATCAAAAATCAACAGAACAATATTTTTTGAAATGAAAAAAAAAATGCCCATCCCAAACAGCGTATAGTATATGTGAAAAAAGTTCCAGCTCCATCAGACATATGAGGCTAGAGAAATAGGAATGTTTCTGCACTTGATTTTCATGAAAAAATTGGTTTAAGAAAAACATGAAACAATGTACATTTTTTCTCTATGTTCGTTGCATAAATTTGAAACATACTTATTAGACAGATACTACTTTATATTATGGCATGGTCACAAAAGGGAAGGCTACCCTTAAGTTAATTTAAAAAAATTACCTCTAGAACGAACCACTAATTTAATACAATGTGTCGCAGGAAATAAACCTTTACGCCCACGTAAATTAGTTAAACATGGAGCATAAAGAAGAGATGATTTACCCGTTACATCACCTTGAAAAGGATCTTCACATGATGGATTACTTCCATTAATTGACAAACATTTGTAACACGATATCGATAATACTAGATGATAATAATTTAATAGTATGTTTTTATTTTTCATTACATAATTAATATTTTTAAAAAAATATGACAACACATACCAATATGGATGAAAAAAGTCATAATTAATATAGAAGTAGAATAATTCTGCATTATTATTTTATTTGTCATTCCAATGTAGATTTGCCGCTTTTATGGAGTAGCTCTCTCTCTCTCTCTATCTATACATATCTATCTATATATATAAATAAATGGCATTGATTTGTGCAGCCATAATGCTTTTGTTGATTCTGTTTTTCTCATCTGCATGATTCTGATATATGAATGATTAAGCCGACATACCAGTGGTAATGATCAACAATATATTAATACGTATAAGGAAGCCCACTTATCGAGCCAGATATGATATATATATATATATATACTAAAAACACATGTTGCATCTTGTGTTGATGACGAACAAGAATAATAATGATGATTATAATGAAGTTGTTGACTAAGATATTATTTCTCAAAAGTCAGAATATTTTCTTCATTACGATCATCAACATACATACATATTTGTTTCTAATCAAATTTATGACATGCTCTCTTTTGAAGGGAAAATAGCTTCGATATTAATAGGACATTTATTCACTGCTTATTATCAATCATAATGGACCATTATATTCCCAGATTACCATACAGTTTTTATTAAAATTCAAAACAAACAAAAGAATTAATAATATAATTAATAACAAAACATTGTTTCTTAACATTGACCATAAGGATATCGATCATAATCACCTGGACCACGTATTGTCTTAATTCCATCACAATATAAATATAAATTTTCGTAAGGCTTTAATCGACGCATGTTTGCCCAGAAACTAGAAGAAATCAAAATTTTAAATACAAAATAAAGTTTTAAAATAAAATAAAATCAAACTAACCTAAAAGCACTTTTACTCATAACTAAAGCACTACAACGTGAAATCATATAAAAATCTAATATAGTTTTTTCAAGTCCATCACATGCTAATTTTTTTCCTGAACGGTCAATATGTCGTATAAGACCATCAATTGTTAATAAACGTGAGCGAAATTTTTTTCTTGCATATAATTGTACTTCTTCTGAATCTGTGGAAATAAATATTAATTCATTTAATTTCGATATCTTTTTTAAAAATCCTATTACACTTGTATTCATACGTTCACGTTTAGGAAAAATAATATCATTTGGATTTGATGGATTTTTTCCAATACGTATATGTGCACAATACAGCGATTTTGATTGAATTTTTTCTGATATTTCATTCATATGTGATTGTGGATGAGACTTTAATTTAAATAATAATTCATATATTAATGTAAATGCTGTATGAATAAATAATGTTGAACGATGTAAACCATATTGTAAATGAAGTACACGATAAAAATCATCACGCCATAATAATAATGAATAATAACTTAAATCTTTAACTTTAAAATAAATTATATCAATATTATTCCATAGTAAAACTTCACCATAACTTCTATCCGATGAAGTAAGATTATTTACTATCAGACTTGTTCGTTTTGAAGGGTGTTTTATTGTTTGATTCCATTGTATAAAATTTGGTTCTAACAAATGTGTTATTGGACAAGGCCATGTCATATTAATAATAAAAGTACGATTTAATACTAATGATAATAAATAAGCACCAACTATTTTTCGTGTTCGATCACCCCAACCACCACATGGTTGATCACATGTATAAATTAAATATTTGTTTGGTGATGTTTTAGGTTTAGCTAAACCAACGAAATTAACATGACGAGATTCATATTGTTGTAAAAGTGGTTGATGATGAATACGTAATAGAAGAGATTTATCATATGAATGTATGATTTTTTGTTGTTTTTTGGGTATACGAGATAATAAAAAGATATTTTTACACGGTGGATACCAGCAATAATGATGAATAGGAAATGATGCAAAATATAAAGTTTGACTAATAAAAATTAAAAACCAAACGAAAAAACCGATTAGCATATAAATGTAAAGTCGTTGAGATCGACCCATCGATAGTATTTAATCGATAACACCATGTAAAAATATAAACGACCGAATAAAAGCCAAATATTTATGGTGATATCCTCAAAAGAGAATAAATAAGAGATGATCAAATAAATTTTTTTTAACAGCATAATATCATATATCAGAAAAATTGAAACCAATATCTTACTCATTATATTCGATCAACACAACCTTATTTTATCTTAGAAACTGAGCAATCGTTGCTTGATACTATTTTCTTTTATAGTCTCAAAAGTTTTGGATTTATAACAATCATATTGGCATACACAATAGTCTTGTTTTTTGATTAAATTCTATAGTGTGATCTATATATTTTTATGAATGGATGCTTTTTTGTCTCGCAGAAATTAATTATTATGTAAAAGTAAAAGATAATTAAATTCCTAACTTAATATTCTTAATAGTATATAAGGTGTGCCATTGATTGATTGGTAATAATATTTTCAAACGATTATCTACTATTATACGTCTATTGAATAAAACCTTGTTAACTTACCCGTTTTTTTTGATTGGCATGACAAATAACAACTATGCGACTTGTTATGATTATTTGATTTAATAAATTGAGGGATTTTTTTCGCGAAACTACTATGAAAATAGAATATTGTACACCAATCAAATGAAAGAATAAGACGTAGACTATATACGTGTATAAGATATTTGATTCACAACCAATATTGAAGAAAGAACAGTATTCAGACCACCTTTTATGTATAAAAACAAAAAATCGACGAAAAAGAATATATATACTATAGTATAAGAAATGGATGAACTTGTATTTATATAGTGACACAGCACATGAGAAAGAGAACGAACTATCGTCAAGAATTCGATTTTTTTCCTTCCATTCTGTTCTGCTTTATGTGTTTTTAGTTCGATTACATTGAGTGATGCGACAATAAAGCATATTATGTTTATGACTCTGTATTATAACATATTTAATGCGATGCGAAGCATAGCATTCTTGTAGTCCGTCACGAGTTTTTTTTCTTTTTAACTTGACGTACGCATCACAAGTCCTCATTTTATGTCGCGATGATCTCAAGAATGGAAACTCACAAAACATTCATTTAAACGCGAAGTCAAAGTATCGAGATCGAAATGCTACCTTTTTTATAGATATTCTTCTGAACATGTTTCATTTGCTTATAATGAGCTTCCAAAAATGACGAATCTGAAACTATTTATTTGCCATTTCGTTTTGAGATAATTAAAATCGAACACATAAAACTAGATGGTATTCGAGTTTCGACTCGAATACGAAATGCGGTGCGAAGCACGAATCTGTCGAATCTGCGAAAAAACGGTACTTTCTAGAAAACGAAAATTCGATTGTCGAGTTAATAGAAATAGTCATTTCTGGTTGACTTGTGGACGGACTACCGAAGATAAACGCTTGTCTGTATCATTCGAATTCCAAAAAATTACTTTTTCACGAGTCAGATGATATATGTCCTGAGAAAATTGAACAGTACCATAGTAAAATCCATCGCCAAGAGAACTCTATGAAAGCCTATGAACATTTTTCTGGAGGACAATTTCGATTGACCGTTTAATTATCTATATGATTCATTATCTATAAATAGCTGTATCACAGCTGTCTTACATTCAAAGAGAAAGAATGGCGCCTAACTTCTCTTTCATTTTTCGTTTTAATTATCTCAATGAAAAATTTTGTCAAAATCGTGTTTTTGGAACGGTATTTTTGTGCGAACCAAAGACTGTATGAAAGATTGGAAAAAAGATGTCATGCCTTCGATCATGATACTATCATCTCCCGTTTTAACCATTAATTTGTGATCTTTGCTTCTGGAGATCATCGCGTCAAAAAATGACGAGATATGATGCGTACGTCAAGTAAGGAAAAAAGAAAGAAAAAAACTAGATGGTATTCGAGTTTCGACTCGAATACGAAATGCGATGCGAAGCACGAATCTGTCGAATCTGCAAAAAACGGTACTTTCTAGAAAACGAAAATTCGATTGTCGAGTTAATAGAAATCGTCATTTCAGGTTGATTTGTGGACGGATTACCGAACATAGACACTTGTCTGTATCATTCGAATTCCAAAAAATTACTTTTTCACGAGTCAGATGATATATGTCCTGAGAAAATTGAAAAGTACCATAGTAAAATCCATCGCCAAGNATCTTTTGCATGTGAATATAACATATCAAGCCAATAATCAGCAATAGTTGCAACATGATTATAACATTCTTCAAGTGTTGTTCCTTTAAGAAATGCTTCAAAAATACTTGCTTGAAATATTTTTATTAATTGTAATTCACCATTACGTTTTACTTCAAAAACCTTTTAATTCAGCTATAGTACCATCCATATTAAATATACAATAACGTTTTTCTTTATATGTTTTCCTTCTTCTTTTGATGCTGACAATATCATAAATAAATAAGGACCATAAATTTTTAAAAAAAATTGAATTTTCTGAACGAATTTCATAAATGTGTTTATCGTTATCAAATTAATTCATGATATTGATCATTTGTATAATGATCTTTAATGATTAAATTTAATAAACTACATGGATAAGATATAACAAATTTTTTGGACGTGATGGATCACGTATTATTAATTCATAATTTTCAGGAAATGCTGCTGGTAATACACACCATATATCATCTTAAATAAAAAAAAAAAGTAATTTGTATGAAATCTATTGATTCGTTAATATTAACTAGTCATTTGTCTGATTTGTTAATCAAAAGTATAAACGTATGAAAAATTAGAAAACTGTTCCCAAAAATCTATCGATGCATAATATTTTCAAATAAATTTTTTGGCCAAAAAAGCCCAAAAATATTAAATAAGATAAAAGTTGCAGATTGATAATGTTTAGAATTTACTGTTAATCTTCTATTGACCAGTTCCCCGACAAACCACAAGAATCAATGCATGTCATCCTGTGCTACGAGATGGGTTGTGCAAGACAATCAATTGTTCATGACTAGCAGCAGAAATGCTCAGATACAAGTACATGCTAAACAATTTCTATTTTAGAAAATAACAAAACTATTTTTGAGACAATGTCAGGCACGATATATAGGAAGAATAGAAAAATTTCACTTTCTATTATTGTGAGTTTATGTTTGAAAAATTAGATATCTTACTGTATCAAGTTCAGGTGGTCGTTCAATTTGTTCAATAAGTTCTCGAGTACGTTTGATAATAATTGAACCTGTTGTACATACAATACCACCCATTTCCGTTCGATGCCAACGAGCACCTAAATTAATTGTAAAAAAAAAAATTATAATTTATTTAACATGTCGAAACATTTTAAATGAACCTCTTCGCATAACATAACCATAAAATGAATTAAGAATACATTTATATGCAAATTGTAATGAATCCTAAATATTGAAAAAAAACATACATGATCAAAAGTAAAGATAATAAAATTTTAGCTTATACATAAATAACAAATAAATTATTACAACATTTAACTTCATTAAGATCATTTTTTTTTGTTGCATTTCCTAAATTTGTTTTCCATTTTTTATGTAAACCTTTATATGCATAACATCGATCACCAAATGCACGAACTGTCTCAACATAAGAAGAATTTTCACATTGACATACAGTTGTTTCTCGTGTTTCTTCTCGTGTATGATTCACTTTTTTATATGCTTTACGACAATAATCAGCTAAACGTTTACGTTCAATTGATAATTGAGTTTCTTGTGGTAATTCATGAACTGGTGGAGTATTATTATTATTATTGTTAGCTAAAAAGAAAAGACAATTTTTACATATGAGGATTATTGAATAGTCTGTTTATTCTATCTAATCGGTTTGTAAAAGCTACATTTTCAGATCGTGTAACCTGAGTTGTATATATGGATTGGAACTATTGAACTCTGGAGGAGTTGAGAAAAAACTTCTATAAAGGACATGGACCGATACGACTCTATCAGATGACATGTTGTTTATAAGCTTATCTACAGTTTAGAAACACAACGAGATATATATCAATTATCTTGAAAACAGTGTAAAATAGATAAACTCTTAACTGATAATCGTTTAGCTTTGTGAAATATTTCGTTTTTCAGTTAAAGAAAGCCCCATAGAATAGTATTTAAGCATGTCTATTTGCCAATTTCTGAACAGCTATGTCTCATTATATGCAGATGTGTACACATTTTTCGACTAACGAAAGAATTAAAAACATATAGAACAAACGAAATTCGATACATCTAAGAACTCTATTCAATAGAGAGAATTTTTGTTTTATTTTCTACCTGTATTATTTGTTCCTTTTTTGATCCATCTATAAATGATTTTTTTTTGTTCAATTGATTGTCCATTAAATGAAAATCGTTCATTTTCAAGTTGTAATTGAATACATTGTAATTCATTACGTCTAGCAGGAACATATATTTCACGCCATATTCAATCCATTTTACGTTGACAACGTGCATTTGGATGATTTAAATTACATTGTGCACATACTGTTGAATTAACAATAGCTAATGGTTGTAAACGATTTGTTATAATTATATTTGGATACATAGTACCAACATCTAAATGATATATATTTGAATTTTCAAGACGATTAGGAACATTTTTTTTAAATGTTGTAATCGTTGAAAAATATCTTCTTTTATTTCAAATAAATTTTCTATTAAATCTATTGTTAATTTTTCTTCAATTTCAATTGATTGTTGAAGTGTTCGATCAATATTATCAATTAAATATTCAACTGTTTCACTAAATTCGTTTTTTTTTTCTCGATATATAGAATAAAACAAGAAATAAATAAAAACTTACGGAACAATTTTAAATCGACATGATATATCATTATGAAAAATATCTGATTTAAATACTTCAACACTTACACCAATATAAGTTTCCGAAATAAGTAAATGACTATCATCTGTATATTTATACTGTTAATCTTCATGTTTATTTGGAAAAATAACATCAGCTATAAATACTTGTACCATTAATAATGTTTTACATAATGTTCCACAATCTAAAATGGTCTCATTGGAATAATTGTTCTAAGTGCAAAAATAAATGTATGAACATATTTCATATATAAATAATATTTTGCAACAACATATGATACTGAATCATTTGATAATGTTTGTGATTGTTCAACAGCTAAACGACGCATATCTTCTGGATTAATTTCAATTGAATTATAATGTAATTTAACTTTTGTTACAGCTTTAAGACCATGACTATGAACAGGTAAATAACTATCATATTTAATCCATTTAATACAATCTATATATATATATATGGACGTGATAAATAACAATCTTGAGAATCTTTTAGAAATCCAATTTCATTAAACATATTTAAATCATTCTCTGATCTTTTTCATTAGCCAGTAAAAGTTTAGTCCTGTTTATAGGATGCTAACCTAAGAACAAGACTAGGTGGCTACCAGCAGCCCAGGGGCGCCTCTCACAATTACTATGCAGTCATGAGGCCCTGTGGATGTTAAGACATCCTTGGCAGGCGTTATTTAAATCATAAAATTGTGCACGTTGTTCAACAAGTGGTATATCAAATGAATCATCATTATATGTTACTAATATATATGAGATTTAACATCAATAACATGATTAAAAAAACGTTTGATTAATTCAAATTCATTTGGTTGATTAAAAACATGAAAATGATCAGGATATTCTTCATTTGGTGTATATTCAAAATCATCAATATCTTGTGAATTTATTTCACAATTTATTATTAAATAACCTTGTATATCAATCATATAAGATATCATCATTATCTATGAAGAGAATTTAAAAACAAAACCAATTTGACCAAAATACTCATAAAAAAAAATTTCAAACTCTATCATACGTACCGTGTGGTGAAAAAACAGGATGAAAAACTTCGTTTTTTTTGTTCAGAAACTGATTTTGAGAAAAAAAAATTGTCCTGTATGTATCAGAACTTATTTCCTTCCAATTGAAGTGATTGAAAACTGGTAGTTAATATAAAGCAGTAATCTTTTAAAATATTTATTTGATCTGATGCAGCCGAAGGAAATTTCAATGGCGTTTTAGTACATTCAATATCAAATGCAAATATAATTGGTTCTAGTTGTTCAATTAAATCTAATTTTAATAGAAGTTGATTTAGTGGTCCACTATTTGATTGATCAAGAATACCATACCTAATTATAAAATGAATAAAAAAAAATTATCATTATTTTCTATATTTAATTATAAATACAAACCAAAGGCCAACATTTATTTTTAAATCAATACAAACTCGAATATGATATGGTACATCAAATTCACGTAATTCAATAATACCATCAATTTGTTTGTCAGCAACATTTGCATTTGAAAGACCATCAACAATAAGATTACTAGTTAAATTTGATGATGTAGTTCGTTTTAATACAACTAATTCAGGATGAGATTGTTGTTCTTTTTCACGTTCAATATTACGTTTAACAATTGATTGTAATTCTTTATGAACTTTCATTAAATCATTAATATCATGAAAACGAAGACGAATAAATGTACCTTAAATACTAGATAGATGATTGAGAAGATCTATATCAAAGAATTAATAAGTTTTTTATTTTTTTATTTTTTAATAACAATAACAAATCCTTATAAGAATGATAATTTCGTTTTTCAAAATATGCTAAGGATCAATCATAGACTTCTCATATCACTAAGCATTTGGGAAATTTCATTGAAGAAATTAAAAAATCCTAATACATATATGTCACAACCGATCAATTTGAAACTTTTTACTCTTTGCGCTCACTATATCTTGCAGAGGAAACCATCCAAGAATTTCGATAAATTTTACTCTACTCCTCGAGATATATATGTCCTGAAAGTTTAAGAATTTTTTCTGTCGACTTGCTCTAAAGAAAATTTCTAAAGACAAGCGAAGGGTTTCATCCTTACACAAATCTATTTCTCATTATATATAAAAATATAACATTTTTAATTTCCATACCTAAATCTCCTTTTCCAATCAGATCACATGATAAACATCGATTATGATATCGTTTTGATAAATAAGCATAAACATCATTTTCTCGTTCAAGTTTTGCTCCAACATAAAAATATGGTGTATATGTAATGTAAATATTAAATCGATCATCTTTATTACCAATAAAATAAAGATTAAATGCTGATAGAAATCTTCGACGTTCTTCATCAAATAATTCACATGATTGTAAATTATAAAGCCAACCAATACGCTCTTCAAATCTTGAATAACGTAAATATCCATATAATTGATCAATACGATCTGATTAATTTAAACGTTCAAGACGTTTTTCAAATTCATCTTCGTCCATTTTTTATCTAGAAAATAAAAAAATACATTAATCTCATATATTGCTAAAGATACAATCAGCTGAAAGAGGAAATGGAGAATATTTATAGAAACAAATACTAATCCTCAACAGTACATATATTGGACGATATGATGGATTTTCATATTCAAATTCATGTGAACATCTAGCACAACGTAAAAATTCCATATAATATAATTGAACGGATTGATTTGATGGAAACATTTCTATTCAATATACAAACATAAATAAATCAACAAAATAATTGTTTTTGTTTTTTTTTTCTTTATAAATAAGTAAATCGTACTTACTAGTTTCGATAGATGATTTATTGAATATGTGTTGTAATGATGATGTCAGGCAAAATTCTTTCTTCCTATCACTGCCTATTTAAATAATTGGGTGAAGAGATAGATAGTAGAGAGAGAGAGAGAGAGAGAGAGAGAGAAGAAGAGGATGGGGGCGGACGTATGTGTGTCTTCACTTTCTCTCTTCCTCTTATTTGTTCTGCTTCGCGTACATGTGATGATACTTCTAGTACGCATAACACACCGTAGCTTCCTAATTGCGGTCAAAAATTAAGCCAATTAACACATCAGTGATCGCAATTTGGAATAGAGAAGTTAACGTTGATTTAATTTTTTATTCGTTTCCAAATTGCGATCACTATTATTAATTAGTTATTGAAAAGCTAGAGCATGAGTTCTTTTCTATTGATATATAATCGTGGGAACAAAAAAAAATACTGCATATTAAACTATGAATACAAACTTTACTTGATCCACAACCGAAAAAGGTGAAAAAGCCATTCTATGTAATAATTATTTGTATCGATTGAAACGTGAAAATCAGAACGGTTCATTAATATTTGTCTGCAATAGTAAATGGTGCTCTCATGCTTTTACCTTAAAAGATAATTCAATTATAAAATCAAAAGATGGAAATCACAATGAAGATCCCAAATTACCAGAAAATGTTCAAACAGTATTTTGCGGATTGAAAAGTCGAGTATTAACTGATATAGATCAATCTCTTACAAGGTATGGATGTCGATTTTGATATCCATCAAAAACTTTTACGAACTGTTTCTCATCGCTATATCCATATTATTAAAGATGCAAAAGATAGTAGTGATGAAGAATAATTTTCTTTGCTATTTATTTGTTTTCTCAATAAATATTGTTTTCAATTAAAACTATTAATTACTTGATAACAAAAAAGTGATCGCAATTTGGAAACGAATAAAAAATTAGATTAACGTTAACTTCTTTATTCTAAATTGCGATCACTTATGTGTTAATTGGCTTAATTTTTGGCCGCAATTAGGAAGCTACGGTCTATCATACAAAAAAAACATGAAGAGATACGACTAGAATTTAATTATATTTGTAGTTACTCACAAGAAACATTATTTTTCTTCTATTAGGAATATCAATTAAGAGTTAAAAGTTACCAGTTTGATTCGAATTTGGATCAAAAGATTTACATTTTTCATAATCAGTCTACAATATTCTTTCCTCTTTTTCCAGTTGTATATCATTTACATAAATAAATAATGTTCATTGAGACTCGATTCGTTTGGTCTTAGATTGACAGGATAGAAATATGCATCTAAGCGCATATTCAGATATAAACATCCATTAATTAAGGCAGTACAGAGTTACAAAAAATAAATTGACATATAAGACAGATTTGTTTCACTAAAGAAATATTTTTCGTAAATATAACTCTTAATTTTTATGTTTATAAAGGAAAAACCGATTCTGAATCTGTCACAATTGACAAATATAGTTCAGTGTATATATGCAATGTTATTGATTTTTCAACATAAATTTTACTGAATGTTTTATTGTTGCACTGTTGTAACTATATTCGTTTTTATTCTTTAATACTATTTTCAAAACTTTATTTTAAATTTCAAGTGATAATTGAGTACAGTAATTAAAAACATTTATCAGTTTTCGTATTCATTATTTGTTCTCAATTCAAATGACTTCAAAAGTAAGTTTTATAATTATAGAGATTTGACTGTAACGGGAGTCCCAGGTGGAACGGCACTAGATCTTGGTAGTTCTTTCTTTTGCTTGCTTTTCGTAAAAGCATTCTGTTTATATTTTAAAAGATAGAAAATTTGAAGCTCTACAAAACTGCCAACTTGGTTATTTAAAGAAGTTTCCGTTGTTAGCACCTACTTTAAAAGATCAACATTCATCTAATCGCGCCACTGCAACGTTTCAAAAACCCAAAATATACGAAAAGTGTTTTTACAAAAATTTCCAGTGGGATGTCAAGCATGCCACAGCATTTTCAATTAATTTCTGTATTTTTCGATGCATATTTCAGAAGTTCAAATGAAATATTTGGAATAAGCAGTTTTGAAATGATAAAAACTTGATATCACCAAAGGGAACCTTTTATGGTAGACCTGTACAATTCTTCTTTTTAATTCGAAATAATCTTACAATGGAGGTGTATGTGCTGTAACTCGAGAACATTGGACATGTTCGGATCAAATTAAAGGTCTCGCTGTCAAACTAACAAATTTTAAATATTACGTGCCCATAGCGTACCTAGAGCAAGTTACTTAAATTTCAAGGTATGTGCAATTTAGGTATAAAAATGAATTAGGAAAGGCTATCTCCACTGTTGTAAGGACAAAACATACTGTGGTTCGGGTCGATTAGGGGTTTGGAGAGACCCTCTTTCACATGGCCCGAACAACTCTATGTTTTGCCCTTACAATAGTAGAGATAGCCTTTCCTGGTTCATTGTTATACCTAAATTTCATATACCTTGAAATTTAAGTAACTTGCTCTAGGTACTCTATGGGTACTTAATATTTTAATTTTGTTAATTTGACAGCGAGACCTTTAATTTGACCTGAGCATGTCCAATGTTCTCGAGTTACAGCACACACACCTCCATTGTTAGTCTTTTCACTGTTCAATTTAACAATTACATCATTTTTTTCAGAGTTAAATTGTACATCCGATAGCCCAATAATAAATCTTTTGAAGAGTGATTCTCGGCTTTTGAAAGCATGGCTTTCTCTAACTGTACTAAAACTTTTGATGAGTGTTGCTTCTGCGCCATTTTCTCTTGATACATATCTTCAGAGATCTTGTAACGACTGTGGTAGTATAGACCACGAAATTCTCTAAATATTGGTATGAAATAATTTACTGTCAGTATCTATCTTGATGAATAAATGCTTTCACTACTCAATAATTGTCAACAAAAAATATGAAGTCGCAATTGAATGACTGAGTATATTCAATTTGTTTCAATTTCATGTCCATAAGAGAAACTTAGTGGAAAAATCAAGTGGACAGTTTTGTACAGTTTCAAATTCTCTATCTTTTGGCATATAAATAAAGCTGTTTGAGCAATGGAAAGTGAGTGAAAAAAAAATACTGAGATTTTGTGCATTTTCACGTGAGACACCTGTTATGTTGAAAGCTAATGCTGTACACTTTCACATAATAATTCAAACTTTAGAGACTCTAGCGTGCCTCCCTAAGTCGAAATTTCAATCACATTCCGGCAGATATTGGCAATATTCTATTTATTAGCATTTGTACACTCACCATCTGCACCTGACTTATGCTTGCAACAAAATAGAATGAATTTACTTCAAGATTAACTAAAACTTTATGGAAAAAGTCACCATTTAGCTTGAAATGGCTGATCAAGCATAGTATTCTTTTTTCTGTAGAGCATAACTACTGAAATTTTTGGACATAATATATATATATTCGCCAGCTGATATTATTTATAATCTTTGTTGCGAAATTAAATAAAGAATGGTCCAAAAGCTTCGGCTCCTCTCTGTAAATTGATGTTATTTATATAAAATGCATATGTAAATAGTTGGCTGTCAAACTCCACAAGAATATGAATATTAAAAGAAGTTTTTAAGCCTGTTTCCAATACAAAACATGAAGAAAATCAGACAGACTAATAAAAATTTCATATGTTTCATGAGAGAGTATGCTTAACTTTCAATCAAATTAGTTGATCGACTGATAATTGACGTTTCGCGATGTACTGTTACATATTAAAGTTGAACAACCTTTCCGAGACACATGAATAGATAGAACAATAGATCAACTGGAATTATTAATAATTAAGTTTACTTTCTTTAATGCTGTACACATGAAAGTATAATTAATCTCTCTGATTTTCTTCAAGTTTTGTCTCGCTAGAAAACAATATTTCGCTACAGATGTTACAAGAATATTTTATTTTTGCAAGAAAATGTAAAATATTTAGTCACGATAATCAATCCTAGAATAAGTAAATCTTCTATCAAGAAAATACATTCTTATGATGAGAAAATTGCCTGATATTCAAACAAAACTCTAAACATGATGAACTTGACATTATGTTAATCAATGATTTGTCATGTTTGATCTGAAATTAAACACATTCTCTTCCTGTAATTTAACTAGCCATACATCATATGTTAAATGTAATAAACTAATCAGACTAATTGTCTAAAGAAATACTAATGATATAAAACGTTACAAGAATCATTTATTTGCTTGTTCAATTAAATATGGTAGTTAAGATATTATATTTATTTACATTTAATTTTTCATTCAATAAAATTCTATTTGGTTAAACGTACAAACAAAAATGCTTTATCAAGCCTACGCTATAGAGATACATGTATTGACCCATCTGTGAAAATAAAAGAATATAATGATATATTATTTGTTTCTCTAATAGTTTTTCATTCAATTATTGTTCTGATGCGTATGGCGCTTGAATGAATAGATTTTATTGTTATTAGAAAAAAATATGGTTGACCTTGAAAAATATCGAGTTGATAAGTGCATCTTTAGATTTTTGCAAAATATTAAAGAATAGAAGACTAAAAAATACTCATATAATTGTCAAGAAACGTATTCGCTTTATGACATGATTCAAATATTTTTCATTAAATATCCTTATGATTAAAATAATTACGCACTGATATACTACGATCTTAGACAGTTTAAGACGAATTAAAAATAACAAAATCCCAATATTTTTTTATTCATTCCATTATCCTTGATAAGTCCCATAATTAAAATATACATAAAAACAAAAATAATGCATCACAACCCAAAAAAAAGAAACAAATAACAAGAAGCAACGTTTTTTTCTTTAATACTTGTACATATTACCGAGTTATGCAAGCAGTAGAAAGACACATGTAAGAAGAGCAGTACCCAAAAGATCTCCAGTAGATGTTAAATACGGTATGCATACATTATCTGGATCTCCATGACGTCGCCAAACGAACGGTACTATCCATTGAGCAATATAAAGAAGAATAGCTACCTATGAAATATTCGAAATAAATATTATTTTATTAATGAAGAAAATTTTCTACTTGAATAAGTGCTGCGATAAGATAAAGAAAAATAAAAAGAAATGTAATTTGATTGTGATTAGCAGCTAATTGCCAAATAATAAGTAGAAATGTTAAATGACCCGGTATAGCCATGAATAATAACAAACGTACTATACATGAAGCATTATCTAAAAATATTTGAAATATATTTAAGTGATTCTATAAAATATAGAGATGTATTCATACTTCTGGAACAAAACATTTTATATGGATTCGGACAATCTGTTGAAGCATCACATTGTTCATCATTATGAAATTCTCCTGGTTTGCCTTGTTGGTGAAGAGCAGTAGATAGTCGACTTGCTTGTACAGTTACTAGATTACCACACACTCCTATCATAAAATTAAACAGATTATTTTATTGATAAGAAAATCATTCTTTTTTTTTAACCATTCATCACAGGTTGAAAAACGATTATACCACGAAGTGTTTGAACAGCAAAAGCAAGAATTAAACCACCCGTACTAAATCAATATTACTTAAACAATTACAATATAATCATAAATATCTACCTTGATATAAACATTGCAATTATTATTGGTGACCTAAAACATTAGGTTTCTAATAACAAAATTTTATATAAATTTTGTTCATATACCATCCATGAATAAGTACATCTTTAACATGCTCATTTCTAGCGCTAATAATTATCCAAATTGGTATTAGAGTCAAAAAAAATACTATTGTCATCATCGGTACCCATGAATAATAGTCTTGACATATCCAAACAAAAGAAAAATTATGAATATGTTATATAAAAAGTTTTACATACTAATGATTTGAAATAAAAAATTACTAACACCAGCTAGAACAGCAAGAGTTGTAATATCACCAAGTGATGCAGCTACTGGTGTAGCAATATTATCTGGATTTATTTTACATCTATGAGATAAAACAATAACGATTATCATAATTAAACCTAAAAAATCAATAAGTTTTTCTATAAATTTTAATATAAACTATATATATTTATACACACTTAATCCTAATGAAGCAATTGCTGCTGTTGAAATACTGCTACTGCATAAAACAAGAGCATGTCGAACATTAAAATGATCCTGTGATAACCAACTTATAAAAATTGATACAATAGCAGCAAGAAAGCCAATAACAATAGCTTGTAATTGTATTAAAACAATATTACCAATAAATAAACTTTTAAATTTACATATTTTATCCATATTTCCAATATTTGCCTATGATTAAGAGATTCAAATAATAGAAATGAAAAAAAACAGAAACAAAAACAACAAAACTTCAAAGCATACTTGTGTAGATAGACGAGAAGCTAATGTCATTTCTAAATTGCCTTTTAAATCAAGTAAAGCTGGAACAAGTATATAAATTTCTGTTATTTCTCGAAATACTTTCAATTCCTAAAAATATAAAAATTAAAATGTAATCTAATCAATTTATTTTGTTCAATCAATAGAGTGTTTCTATCATTTTAAACCAAATAAACTCTACTCTGTGGACCATCATTGTGAAGATTAGAAAAAAATGTTTGTAAGGAAATGAGTTCTTTTTTTCTTTTATTAAAACCCCTTACAACATAAAGCAGTCTATTTTCTTGTTATGTTAATGAATAGAATATGATGTTATTCTTTATGACATTCTTTATGCTCTTTGAATTAACATAAAAGAGTATTGTTCGTTCTTGTTTTATTAAAATGAATCAACAAATCTACAAGAAGTTGAAGATCCCTTGAAAATAAAGTATTTCTTTAAATGAAAAACAATCATATAAATATTGTTATATATTGAATTTTGCATCAGTCATCATCATATTTTCTACGCAATCTATAGAACTTATTTTTATCTTTTTATATTAGAAAGTTTTTTTTGACATATATATAGATGAATACCTTCACATGTTCAAGTAGAAGTCCTGCAGCAACCATACCAAATCCAGCAATCATAAAAGGAAAAACAAGTTGACTTGCTACAGTATACCATTTTTCTTGATTATTATCATAGACATGCAGTATTGGTGTTGTTTCATCATTTCGAATAGACTTTTCTATGTGAAATCAAATTTACATTCGCTTTTTTTTTATCATATTTAATTTCTATTCACATTTACTTTCTTTTCTTTACCACAAAACTTATAATAAGAAAAAACGACAATATCCCGACAAAAATTCAAAATTGTGACCATCACCATAAGCCGGCAACTTTGATGTTTCTACATATGTTTAAAAAATAATATATATATATATAAGCAAACCTAAATAATAATATTTCTATCATATGCTTTCACTTCTAGTGTGATATTAACTGTGTAGCCTTTGAATAAAAATAACTGATGGTGCTATTTTTCATTTTCTATCATCAAAGTAATTAGAAACTTGTTTGCCTATGAAAGAAAGCAAAAATACCTTTTTCTTTCCCAGCTGCCGGTTGTTCATGCATCATTAAAAATCAATCAATTAAACTAAGGAAAAGAATAGTTTACTTGAATTTGAAAAGAGAACTACAAAATCGATTAAGCGCCACAGTCAATAGTATTCAATTTAGTAGAAATTCTAAACCAAGTTCAAACAAAATCATACAAATACCATTTTTTACCGATGCTCAATTTGAAAAATATTAAAAAATTGCCTCTTTTATTTAATTTCCATTCATTGGTTAATATATTTGAACCAATAGTAGATGTTGGTAAGCGTTACGGCTAGAGAAAAAAAAGAAGTCTAATGATGATATGTTTACTCAGATATCAGTCGGGCGTGTTTTACTCTCGTTCAATCAATATTTACTTCTATTCTTACTTCGACATTCAATATATTTTAGATATATGTTATTGTTCTAGTGGAAATTGTAGCCATTTGAAATGTTCAATATGTGCGCACTCAATGATAATAAACCTGTTTGGGTACGAGATAATGAGCATGGATTTCTTCTTGGTAAAATAACCGATATTGGTTCAGATAACGTTACTGTTAAATTGAATGAGAGCAAAAAGGTTTGAAAATGAATCAAAATTTAAAAGAATAATCTATTTTATTTTTTAGACATTAGTTGTGCCATATGATTCAGCATTTCAAGCAGAAGAATATGATAAAGATGTTGATGATAATTGTTTGTATTTATTATATTAGAATTTTTAAATTAACTTTTTCTCTCTGTTTAAGGTGCACTTATGTATCTTAATGAAGCAACACTATTAAATAATGTTCGCCGTCGTTATAAAAATGATTTAATTTATGTATGACAAAAATAGAAAACGAAAAACAAAGTTTTGGTTTTTTGAAATCAAATTTATCTTTTAGACTTATGTAGCGAATATTTTAATTGCAATTAATCCTTATAAAGAATTATTGGGTCTGTATTCGAGCGATTCAATCAAACGTTATAATGGAAAATCACTTGGTATTATGCCACCACATGTTTATGCTATTGGTAGGTTATTTAGAATTTTGACGCAAAAAATTTGAAGAATTAATATGATTTATGGCTACCTCGAAGATATGAGAGGAAAGAGTATTAAGAATCGAAGACTTCTCGCCATCGAACAAGATATTTTAACTTCAAGATTGACTGAATTTTCACATGTCTGTTTCAGTAGAGCCTGTCAGGTCGGCAATTTTCGAACCTGATCGAATTGTATTTGGATATTTTCAATGAAATTTTTTAATCGGGTTCGAATAGTCGCCCCGAAGATATGAGATACTTTTGTTCTAGTTTTTTGTGCTCGATGATAAGTACACACTACATATATTTCGCAGACGACTAGGGTCCATTGAGTCCAAAATTTTCGATCCGCATCCGATCTACTCTACTATCTAGTGATATTTTATCGTATAAAATAATCAAATTTCTGTATTCTTACAATTTGTATAAAACTCTTATGTAGCTGATACGACCGTATTTATTACTATTATGTAACTTAAAAATATCATTCGATTATTTTTTTTAAAGAGAAATGATAAAAATTTGCTTAACATTAGACATACGTATTCTTCATAATATGAAAATCGAAGAATATTCGAGAGAAATTTTCTTCATTCATCAATCTTGCAAAAACCGGTGGAACCCATCTAACAAAAACAAATATTTGTTAAAGGCTATTGTCAACTAAATAATTCATAATTGCACATCTGGAAATTTTCTTTTCTATACAATGAAAATATCACATATGAATTTTAATCAAAGTTTTTATTCAGATCAAACAGTCGTTAGATCATTGAATATTTAAAAACGTGTTCAAATAAAATTTAATTAATGAAAAACTTTAATAATAGTATAATATATATTTTTTTTTTCTTTAATATTTAAGGTGATAAAGCATATCGTGATATGCGTTCTGTCAAACAAAGTCAATCAATAATTATATCAGGCGAATCCGGAGCTGGTTCGTAGGATAATTTTATTTGATCATGATTTTTATTTCTTTGTATTTTTAGGTAAAACTGAGTCAGCTAAATATGTTTTACAATATTTAACGGAATCATATGGTGCGCATAATGGTCAAATTGAAGATCGTATTAATAAATGTAAATAAATCAAATAAAAATTCTTATTATTAAATACTTTTCCTTTATTTAGCCAACCCATTATTAGAAGCATTTGGCAATGGTAAAAAAAGAAAATTCATTTTGTCAATTCTTTCTATAAATAAAAAATTGAATATTTAGCTAAAACAACTCGTAATAATAATTCAAGTCGTTTTGGTAAATTTATTGAAGTTCATTTTAATGATAAAGTATTTGAAAAATGAATCGTTTCGAATTAAAAATATGTATATATATATCTTTTTCTAGCATCGTGTTGTCGGTGGTTATATATCTCATTATTTACTTGAAAAATCCCGCATATGTGTTCAATCAAAAGATGAACGAAATTATCATATATTTTATCGTTTATGTGCTGGTGCACCTGAAGATATTCGAAGTGCATTACGACTTGCATCACCAGATAGTTTTCATGTTTGTATATTAAAATGAAAAACAAAAATTTCTATTTTATTATAAATTCTTGTTCTTTTTTTTTCCTTCTATATTAGTATCTTAATCGTGGTTGTACACAATATTTTTGTAATAGTCAAACAGAAAAATCTTTATCAAAAAATCGACGAAGTCAAGATGTAAGTTAAATGAATAAATTAATTTAAAATAGAAAAAGAACTTTTCTTTTTTATTGTTTTTATTATTTGAATAGAAAGATTTTCTTGATGTAAGATATTTCTATTGTCATCAGTGTTGTTGTTTCTTTATTATGAATTTAAATCAATAAAATGTCTTGTTTTTCTTTTTAGTGTATATCAAAAGGTGTATTACGTGATCCACAATTAGATGATGTTAATGACTTTAAGGAATGTGATCAATCAATGGGTCAAATGGGATTAACACAACAAGATAAATTAAATATTTACAGTACAGTTGCAGCTGTTTTACATGTTGGAAATATCAATTTTGAAGATGATCCGGAAAGTACAAAAGGTGGTTGTAAAGTAACATCAACAACAGAAAAATCATTAAGTATAACAGCTGATATGCTTGGTCTTGATCAACGTGATTTACGTAATGCTTTAATAACACGAGTTTTAATGACAAAAACAACTAGTAGCGGTAAAGGAACAGTGATTCCGTAAGTAAATTTTGTCATATACGATCTAAAAGTAGTGACGAAGTATTGAAATAAAACCTTGGGTTGGTCCTCCCCTCTTCCCCCCCCCCCTCCCCCGTTCAAAGACCGTATGTAAGAATCCTGCTGGATAGTTCCGAATCCTGTGTGTCGCGCCCGCAGGACTTTCTTGTATATTAATAACATCTCATTATAATATATGAATCTACTTTCTTATTGGATTCTGATGAAGTTAAGTAAAAGGATAGTCAAAGATATGAGTCCTGAAAAACAATCTTCCTACAATTAGTAACAGCAGCTACATCGTGGTTCACATTTTATTCCCGCAGGGATTGCACTAACAGTTTTTTTTCTCATTCGATTACATTCGAACTATTTTTTTCATGTTTCATTAGTGTTCCATTAAAAGTTCATGAAGCTCAAAATGCACGTGATGCATTAGCTAAAGCAATATATATTCGATTATTTGATCAAATAGTTACATTTGTTAACAAATCAATACCATTTAGTTCATCTAATTCATATATTGGTATTCTTGATATAGCTGGTTTTGAATATTTTCCTATAAATTCATTCGAACAATTTTGTATTAAGTATGATAATAATAATAATAAATCTACTATTGATTTTAGAAGGATGTTGTTTTTTATTATAGTTATTGTAATGAAAAATTGCAACAATTTTTTAATGAACGTATACTTAAAGAAGAACAATTATTATATGATAAAGAAGGTCTTGAGTTGAAAAAAATTAGTTATATTGATAATCAAGATTGTATTGGTATGTTGATGAAATTTTTATTTTATTTTTTTTATCGTCTTTGTTTTCTTCTTTATTTTAAATTAAATAGGAGCCTGGTAGGGGCCAAACTTTTTCTTAACCACATTTGTGTGTGTGTGTGTTTATGTCTGTTTTTGTATATTTTGCATGAGCGTTATAAAGAATATGTGAAATATGAATAATTAGAGAAATATGTTGGCTCGAAATATAGGCTTGTGATTGTTTGAGATAACGAAAAAAAAAATGCTAGATAATGTTGCACCTATAAAAAGAAAAACTAATTATGACACATAAGGTGAAAGAACAAATGCGAAGTCTTTATTTAGACAGAATAATGTATTGCATGTCTTGTTATCTTAGAAGGATTGAACTAAAAGAAAAGAAATAGTACTTAGTATAGAAGAACTATAAAACAAAAGATGAAGTAGCATAGGTAATATTTTGAAGGCTTCAATGTCCTGTGAGTCGCATTATCAAATGCTTTTATCTAGTGCTTCATAGAAGAGAGAATATGTCACATCTTGAAAAGATTTAAATAAACAAAACATTTTGATGACATTTTTTCATTCTATATGAATTGATCTATCATATATCTATTGAATGGAGTTTCTAAGCAAATAAACAAGAATAATAATGTTTGAAAAATGTTTAGCTTTGGCAAGACGGTGAGAAAATGCAGTTGAATAGTTTTTTGAACTTCAATAAAAAGAAAAAGAGTTAGTTTTGTTTGAGTGATTTTGGATTTATTTAATACGTAAATAAGTCCTTTGAAGGAAAGATTAATGTTGAAATTTCTTTTATCAGAACAATCTGTTTGAGCTTATAATCACTTTCAACAATTCACAATAACATTCTATATTAATTGCTTATTTTTAAACCAATAACACTCACGAGTCTAATAAAATGTTTGAAAATCAGCATGTTTACGTCGTTCCTCGAGCTTTTTTTTATTTGCATGATAAATGAAAATTTTGTTTTTTTTGTTCTATTATCTTATAAATTCACATTTTATTATTTAATGTGTTTAGAATTAATCGAAGCAAAAACAACTGGTTGTTTTGATTTATTAGATGAAGAAAGTAAATTACCAACACCACGACCTGAACATTTTACAACTGAAGTTCATAATCGTAATAAAGGTCATCCAAGACTTGATGTAAACAAAAAAAAATTTTCTTTTTGTGTTTTTAAATTTTATCAAATCATTTTTTGTTTCTATTCAGTTTCCACGAAAATCTAAATTACGTGCATCACGTGAAATTCGTGATGATGAAGGTTTTCTTGTTCAACATTTTGCTGGTAGTGTTGTTTACTCAACTGTATGTATTTAATTATTATATAAACTATAGGTATATATATATATACAGTATTGCTTTTTGTTTAGGCACAATTTATTGAAAAAAATAATGATGCGTTACATGCATCATTACTTATTCTGATTCAAGAATCAAGAAATACTTTCATTAAAAATCTTTTTCCAAAAGCACCCGAACATGAACAATCAGCAGGAAAATTAAATTTTATTTCTGTTGGTTCTAAATTTCGTTCACAATTAGCTGATCTTATGAATAAATTACGAAGTACTGTAAGTAAACAAATCATTATTGTATCTCATAAGTTTTGTTCAAAAGAAAAATTCAATAACAATATAATTTTTTATTGTTACAGAATAAAATAACATAGAAGTTCAGCACAGTATGCTACCAGACGGGTAATCCAAGACAAATAGCCGTTAGTGACTTGTCTGAGGTCATTCTATCGCTGGTGGTACTGAAGTTGAAATATAGTACTTTGTGAATACATGTCAAACAATGCAGCAATTTATCCATGACAATCCCATATTAAGTGAGAGGTGTTGTAATTTTGTCGAATGAGCAGAGATATTTCGGATTCACTAAAAAGACTGGAAATATTCTAAGATTGCGAGAACTGCAGATTCTTGAATCATACAAATCTAATTTTGTATTCTATTAGAGATTAATGAAGCTGAATTCTATTGGTTTCAAATCTTGGTTGTGAAACTAAAGCGTAGTATTCATATTGAGAACAATATCTAATTGATTAGATTAATTTTTTCTTTATCATTGAAACGATAAATAAATAAATCAACAGTTTTTTATTTTTTTTATTTAATGATAGATCTTGGAAATTCGGTAAGAAATACCAATCTTACTTCTGAAATCACTTCTGCAGAAAATATCGCGTTAAAAATATCTTTGATGATTCTCAAAATCTGAAGTTTAATCATAGTCAATTTCACTTCATATGATTCTTCTGATGAAACTATATTTGAAAACTCTTCTATATTGTTGTTTTTTTTTTGTTTCAAATAGGGTATTAGTTTCATTCGTTGTATTAAACCAAATCTCAAAATGGTTCCAAGTTTGTTTGAAGGTGGTCAAATTCTAAGTCAATTACAATGTAGCGGTAAGACTCAAAGAAAATATTTTCTAGAATTGGAATAAATATATTCTTTTTCAATAGCTATGGTATCAGTGTTAGATTTAATGCAACAAGGTTTTCCATCACGTGCACAATTTGCTGAATTATATGGAATGTATAAATCATATTTACCAAAAGAATTAGCACGACTTGATCCACGTCTTTTTTGTAAAGCATTATTTAAAGCTTTAAATCTTCGTGATACAGATTTTAAATTTGGTTTAACAAAAGTTTTTTTTCGTCCGGGAAAATTTGCTGAATTTGATGAAATTATGAAATCTGATCCAAAGAATTTAGCTATACTTATTTCAAAAGTTAGAAAATGGCTTTTACGAACACGATGGAGAAAAGCCCAATGGTGTGTTTTATCAGTTATTAAACGTAAGTTAATTTAGAAAAAAAGAATAATGTTTTTTTAAACATTTATTTTTATTATTTAGTTAGAAATAAAATACTTTATCGACGTCAATGTTTAATTGATATTCAACGACATGTTCGTATGCATTTAGTTTATAAATCTTATGCACCACGGTAGATATAAAAATTTACTCAAATTTATTTTTGTTAATATTTTTTCTTTGTTTTTGTTTTCGTAGAATTCGAGGTTTAGTTAAAGTTAAAGCATTACATGAACAAGTTGCTTCTATGGAGAAGATTGTTGGTCAAATGAAAGTTAATAAAGAACAAGTTTACAAACAAGTACAACAATTAAGACAACGAATTGATCACTTACTCAATGAAATTACAGTAGGTTTCATTTGAAATTTATTTACACAAAAAATTATAGATTAGTTTTTATAAACAAAATATATGCGAAAGTCAATTGTCTTTATCTAATAAAGATTTTCTATAAGAAATTTTACATTATGAAAATAAGTTTTCTAACAACATGTTGATTAATGGTTAACGAGAGAATATTTCCAACTGTAGAATTGCTTTTCTCTTGAGACTATTACCATTCGATCGACCATCATGAGTACTAGAAAACTCTCTTGTGGTCTCGTTTTCCAGTCTTATTGGATAACAAACATTTTACTTGGCTTTCTCTTTGTAACCATAGAACCGTTAAGAACGTAGATGATGGATTTCGAGCTAAAATATTCTCTGCAAATAGGTCTTATAGTTATTAGAAATATCCTGAAAGCTTGAGCCAGAAGGAATATATCCTTTCTAAGATATTTATATTTTTAAACAAACGTCTGTTTTCAACTGTGTTTTAAAAGAACAACGTTTCTATGACAAGTTGATATCTTCATGTAGATACATATGCTTTAATTCAAGCGCTTTGATGTTTATAATGATTATAAGACCTATCCTATGGACAAAAGTTCAACTCGAAATTAGATTATCCACATTCTCAGCAATTCTATACTCATAACTCAACATGCGAAGGAATTTGTGAATGGTAAGCACGAAGAAACTTCATCACGCATAGCAATGAAGATAAGATATGTAGATACGGATGGGAATCAAGAGAGACTAGGGATGCCTACAAATCGTTTGAGTTACTTTTGTCTATATGAAGAAGAATGTCCTTATTTACTGAACCATATGGCATAACATTTATCCATCAGTAAAAAATTGAAATAGGGAAATGATACTAGAGAATACTAAAAGACAGATTTCGATAATCTTACTAGGCTACGTGCTAGAACCAATCCAAAAACCCAAACCCAATGAGTTTGGGTTCTTTTTTTAAACTCCTTTCAATTGCTTATTAAATCGAATGATTCATTGAATCATTCTTCATTTGGATGTCAAAGCAGATATCTGTCTATATTAGTCGCACAATAGTTTATCGATAGGATGCACAATCAATGAGATAATTTTGAAATATTGAAATTCAGCTATTGGATTTAGCTGTATGCCTAGGGAAGGCTAGTGTTTACACCCGTGTACATTCATTGATCTTTCAATACACATCTTTGAAAGTTTGAAATGTGAAAGAGTATTATCGAAATTCTTAAATTTAATACAAGATTCCGGATATATTGTTACAAGTTACAGTTTAGTATTAAGGTCACACTCGTTCCCCTCAAGAATTGATCC